CACATTTTTCTTTATTTTATTATCTCTTCCTTCTTTTTCTATCATTTCACGCTGTAGCAATAACAATAGTCATTCCGTTGAAGACAAAAGAACCGTCAACACATTCGCATGACTATTGTTTGAAATTAAATTGTAAGAAATTTTTTCAATCCATTACTCTGTGCACTAATATTCTTTCTGATTTCTGTTTTTTTTGACAAAAAAAAAAGAAAAAAAAAATGCACCAAACACACCATAAGTAGTATTTATCTATTTTATGAAAACTAATCTGATAAAATATTAAAAAATAGATAAAACAACTTTCCAACCATTGTCAACTGATAATGAATAAAAATCTACTCTAAAAATCAACCAACTAAGGGAAAAAAAAATACAAAAACATAAGAGCATAAACCAAACCCTAACAAAATCATCAACATAGTGTACAGAGGCGAAATTCCATCTTAACAATCTGCAGGTACGGATCCAATTCTGATCTGAACACGAAAGAAAAATAACAAGAAAAGGAAAAAAGAAATCAGCATTAAATCAACAAAAATTCTAATAGAAAAGCTTGAATAATAATGTTGGAGAAAATACAGAAAACTAAAACAATATTATTGAATAAATGATGCAAAGAATGAGATACAAATAAGATCAGGCTGGGCACGGATATCTCGTTTTCTTTAAAAGGACGATCAGCCACTGCGCGTAGCGAAGAATCCAAATAACCGAATGCAGCAGTCACAATACTATGACTTGTCCCTCCAGGATACAACAGCCCGCCACTTTGTCCGTATGGTTTCAAGGCCAACTCTGCACAAGATGGTGAACCCAAAGCTCCAAATATAAAACACCATTCTTTTGCTAGTAATCTCTCTTTATACGAAAATAGCTTACGCTACATGATTGAGTAAACAATCAAAATGATTCGTGGTGGGCCCCCACGGGCTCAACAACAAGCTTCAATCTGATCTCGGACTGGAGAGAAGCGTAGCCATTAAAAAAAGTAAAATACATAGCAAACTCTTCACACTATTATAATAGTGGTAAATAGATAAATTAGGTGAGAAATTATGAGAAATAAATTACTTTTATTTTGAAACATTGATTTCTCATTTAAAAGTGATGAGATTTAATGAAAATAACCTTATTTTATTAATATATATATATATATATATATATTAGAACATGAGAAATAATACGTTAATAAAACAACAAGAGTATATAAATAAGACCCCAAAGGGTCATTCGACCCAAACAACAAAAATAAAATCTGTTATCCTTGGTAAATTATTTGTCCATCTTTTGTGATTTCCTTATTAAATATGAAAGTTGGTGAATCTACTAATAATTAATGTATAGACCCAGAATATTAGAAGAAAATCTGTTATCCTTGGTAAATTATTTGTCCATCTTAGAAAATTAAATTCTTTCTAGGAATGTTAATAAATACGTTCACATTATTTGTCAATTGAATAGGCCATATATCAAATTTGAAAAATAAAAAAAAAATTTAAAAACTATAACTTCGACCACCCACACTATTGTGAACAGGAGTCATAAATATGGGCATTTTCAACACTACCCTATGTTGATATGGAACTTGGAATTTGAATTAGTTTATGATTTCATTATCAGTTGACAAGGTTAAAGTTATTTTATCTATTTTTAATTTTTATAGGTAGTTTTCAAAAATAAAACAACTACTATGCTGTTTGGCTTTTGTTTTGTTTTGTTTTGTTTTCTTTTTTTTTTTATCAAAAAAAAAAATTCAGAAAATATTAGTGTACAAGTATGGATTGAAAAATTCTTACAAATTAAATTTCAAACAAATAGTCATGCGAATGTGTTGACACTTCTTTGGCCTCAACGGAAAAGACTATTATTAAGTATAGCGAAAAATGAATAGAAAAAGAAGAAGAGAAAGAAATAAAGAAAAATGATTGAGAAAACAATCAAAATGATTTGTGATGGGCCCCACGAGCCCAACAACACACTTCATTATGATCTCGGACTGAAGAGAAGCCTAGCCATTAAAAAAAGTAAAAACCATTGCAAACTCTTCACACTTTTATAATAGTGGTAGATAGATAAATTAGGTGAGAAATTATGAGAAATAAATTACTTTTATTTTGAAACTTTGATTGCTCATTTAAAAGTGATTAGATTTAATGAAAATAAACTTATTTTTTATATATATATATATATATTAGGACGTGAGAAACAATATATTAATAAAACAACAAGAGGACACAAATAAGACACCAATGGGTCATTCCAACCAAACAACAAAAGTAAAAAAATAACAACAAAAAACAAACCCTCAAAAAAAAAAAAAAAAAACAGCTATGATCCAGGAAAAACCACTGATGTGCTCAAAGATGTGGTCTAGAAAATAAGATCTGCTTGAAAGCCCACCGTCCCTGTCAACAACGTCCCCATCGCCGCTGCCCAACGCCGCCGCCACTGTCGCTAGAGAAAGAAGAACACCCACAATGGCATGGGAGAAGGGTTTAGAGAGGAGGAAACCATTTATATCACGTACTTTACTTTTTTATTCATCTACGTATGATAGTAAAAAAATGAAATCATTTTTTTTCTTTTCTCAAAGGATAAAGATACCACAAACATTTATTTTATTTTCAAAACTCTATCACAAATATATCAAATATTTGTCTAGAATCCGAATATATCAGAGATAGACGTGAAAATAGATAACTAGATATATGTAGTTATCTATGAGTATTGAATACATTGTAAAAGCAAAAAAGGTCAGAAACGATTTTTATTCAGATTGTTTCATTTCTCACAACCTTAACCAATCATGGGGAATAGTAGAAACATCATGGTCATTTATTTCAGTATTTTCCACTTGCTCTTCTTCTTGTGCATGCTTGGAAGAACCCTTCGAATTCAATTCATCAACTCTCCGAGCCACATTTTTCTTAAGCTCCACCATAGACCTTTTTAATTGTTCAAGCTATTGCAAGTCAAGTTGATTAACATATGCATCAAACCTACAACTTAGCAAGCCATAGTTTTTGTTACTCATGTTTTGAACAATTTTCTCTTTCTTTTTCTCGACTTTCAATCGCTTGTTCAGCTCATGGAATTGTTGGTTGAGTTGGTGCACAGTGGCATCATCACGCCGCGAGGCATGGCTGGAGACGCCTTCACTTGGCAGCGCATTTTGGTTCAGAAAGCGGTCTACAACCGAGTCAACATTAGGTTTTCCAAAAGAGAAAGCCTTGCCTCCCATGGAGAAGTGGACAATGGCCATATCTACGCCACATTTTTTTTTGATCAGCAAAAGAAGAACTTTATTGATGAAGATAAGATACAGAATATGGAAAAACATCAATAAAGAAGAAGCACAAGAAAAGCAACAAAGAGAACACTCCAAATCCCAGTTAGGGGCTGAAGGAACGAGACCCTAACAAGGGCAAGCTGAAGTCAAAGTTGGTGAGAGACCAACAAACCAAAATGCAGAACAGCTGAGAAAACAAGCAAGGCACCAAGGTATAAAAACAACAAAAACAGCAAAAACATCAAAATGCAGCTAGGCATCAAGATGCATACACTTTACCATGACAGCAGAAACTAGGGCAGAGCAGCAAACCAAAAATGATGCAAAGCATAGCAAAGTTGAAGCACAGCAAAGCAGTAACCAGAAATCAAACTAGAAACATTGAGCATAGCCACCACGAAGATCTTCTCATACCAGGTATACACCCACTTCCCCTTGCTTCCAACCGCATACCAACACTTAGAATCAGCCCATGTAGCATCAGACCAATACACCAGCGAACTAGCAATGAGCATGCTTGACAGCAAAAACTAAGGCAGAGCAAAAACCCAAAAATAAGGCAAAGCATAGCAAAATTGAAACATAGCAGAGCAAAATTGGCCACCAAGAAGATCTGCTAATACCAGGCATGCATCCACTTCCCCTTGCTTTCATCCGCATACCACAGATTGACCAAAATCCTGCACCCTTACAGCAAAACACCAAGGCACTGAGCTCGCTTTCTTTGTTGAAAATCCCATGTTTATGCTTTGAGAAGGAAATCCTTCTTGCGTTTTCATTGGCTATCATCTTCATTTCAATCTTCTTTCGGCCTTGGGATTGGTTCCTCTCCACGTTTAAAGAAAAAGCAAGAAAAACTTTTTTGAAAAAACTTCTTAGTAAGAAGCATGAGATATATGCAAGTACACGCAAAGGGGGATTATATACTGTTAGTATTGATATTTTTACATTGATATTCTTTTGGCTCCAGAATCTGCAATTCTCCTTTTGTGATTGACTTATTAAATATGAAAGTTGGTGAATTTGGTAATAATTAATGTATAGACCCCGAATATTAGAAGAAAATCTGTTACCTTGGTAAATTATTTGTCCATCGTTTGTGATTGCCTTATTAAATATCAAAGTTGGTGAATCTACTAATAATCAATGTATAGACCCTGAATATTAGAAGAAAATCTGTTATCCTTGGTAAATTATTTGTACATCTTAGAAAATTAAACTCTTTCAAGGAACATTATTAAATGCGTTCACATTATTAGTCAATTGAATGGGCCACATATCAAATTTAAAAAATAAAAAATAAAAAAATTGAAAAACTATAACTTCGACCACCCACACTATTGCCAGCAAGAGTCATAAATATGGGCATTTTCAAAACTACCCTATGTTGATATGGAACTTGGAATTTGAATTAGTTTATGATTTCATTATCAGTTGACAATGTTAAAGTTGTTTTATCTATTTTTAATTTTTATAGATAGTTTTCAAAAATAAAAAAACTACTATGGTGTTTGGCATTTTTTTTTTCTTTTTTTTTTTTGTCAAAAAAAAATCAGAAAATATTAGTGTACAAGTAAGGATTGAAAAATTCTTACAATTTAAATTTCAAACAAATAATCATGCAAATGTGTTGACGGTTCTTTTGTCTCAACGGAAAAGACTATTGTTATGTACAGCGAAAAATGAATAGAAAAAGAAGAAGAGAAATAAATAAAGAAAAATGATTGAGTAAACAATCAAAATGATTTGTGGTGGGCCCCCACGGGCCCAACAACAAGCTTCAATCTGATCTCGGACTGGAGAGAAGCCTA